ATAACTTCTATTTTATTTATATTATAAAAGTAATATAAGAAAAGTATATTTATTAATATAATATAGAAAGTAATAAGATTAAATAGTATAAAGACTTTAATAGATCTTAGTAAGTAGATAGAGTTACTAAAGCTAAATCTAATAGTAGCTACTTTTATAGTATTAACTTTAAGGTTTAATATTAATTATTAAAGTATAAAAACTTAAAGTTAGCTTATTATTAAATATTTAGAGGTATTAATATTAAGTAGAATACTTTAAAAAATTATTAACTTATATTTTCCCTTAAGAGAGAACTATAAAGTATATTCTTTAAGCTTAACTATAGTATATTAATCCTATTTAGTAATAGTATAAAAGGTAGTATTATTACTTAACGTATTAATAACTTTAAAGCTATTAAAAGTAATACTAGCAAAATAAGGAGTGAGAAATTATTAATTTTTATTATCTAAGCCTTCTAATCTATACTAACTATTTTTAGTATTAGAGTTATTAATATTAAGAGTGCTAAAGTAGTTTAATATATCCTTATTATAGCTATTAATAAGAAGGTTATTAATACTCTTAACGCTTTTATACTATACTAGAAAGTAATTAAAAGTAGGAGTAGAAGTATCCTTATTAATATATATTTACTTAAAGTAGTTAAAAGCTTTATAGTAATCTTTAGTAAGGTGTTTTATTAACTAGTAGCTTATTTTACTATAAATATAGTACTTCTTCTTAGATTTAAGAAGTATAAGTTAAAAGTAATATTAACTATAAAGTATATATAAATAATAGCTAAATTAAAAGCTATAGCTATAGCTATTATATTAGTGATTAATTTAGTATTAATTATTAACTAAAGCTAGATTTATTATGAAGTACTTATAAGCTTAGCTTTATATTATAATACTAATAGATAATCTAAGCTAGTTAGTAATACTTTTATAGTCCTTAGTAGGGCTTATAAGAGTATAATTATACTTAAGTATACCTTAATAAGTATTAAGGATTTAGTTATAAAAAGTATTATTAGAATAATAAATAATAGAGAGGGTATACTAAATAGTAATAAGTTTATTAAAAACTATTTTAAAGTACTCTATTTTAGTCTTACTAAAGTTTTTAAGGATTATATAGTTAAAGGTAGTATTATACTATTTAGAGAGATATACTTAATATAACTTTTTAGTTTTAAAGTAGGCTTTAACTTTAGTAACTAATCTAATAAGGTTAATAGGTATATTATTACTATAGAGCTTATTATAGTAGTAATTAAATACTTTACTTTTAAGTATAATAGAGAAGGTACTTAAAGTTTAAAACTAGTTAATACTAGTTTTAATATGTTGAGGAAGTTTCAAGCCCACCTAGTAGGGGTTTTCACAGTAGGGGAAAAAGCAGTAAAAGCACCTCAGTTAGTGCCCAGTCCAGTAGCTTCGCAGTATATATACCTAAGGGTCTGGAATAACTGCCTGCGCTAACCCTAACTCGCCTATTATAGCTGTCAGCCTTGTTGATGATAGCTTTGTTGCCAGCAAGGTTAACAGCCTCACCCGCGTAACTCATAAGCGAGATATATACTAGAGATAGCTTCACAAGGTCTTTAACTATGGAAAAGCTTATCTTAGCTACATACTTAAGACGCCGCTCGCGCTAAGCCTTAAGCCTATTCCTCACTAAGCAAACTACCTAGATTCCTTCACAATATGTTCTATCCTGCCTAATCCATAGGATCTCATGCTGCAAAGCTTTACCTAAGGCATACCCCAAGACACTAAGATTAATACTAACCACAGGGCCAGGCTTACAGCAATCAGTAAAACGACGCCCTTTAATATATAGAGCTTTAGGGACTAGATAGCTATAGCTAAGTCCTACTTTAAGGTCCTAGAGGCTAACCTTAGCAGTAATAGCGTAGAGGCTGCTTACCTGCTTCAGCAAAGCCTCTCGCTTAACAATATAAACGTATTTACTGCTAATCCTAGCATTTATACCTACTTTAACGACATCCTTAGTAGGGCGGTGTAGCTAGTAAGTTAACTAGGCTAACTGCTGTGATATCGCAGGCGTTGTTGACGAATATAGACTGATGCAGCGTAGGCAGCAGAAAAGACGGCTGAGCTGATAGAGGGTGTGCGTGAGGGTTAGTAGATAGGTTAGAAGGCTGGAGAAAGTCTGTAGTAATTAAACCTAGTCAAAGTTGTGAAGTTATTGTCGAAGTGACGTTAAAGGTGATGAGATTGTGATAGCGCACCTAAGCGCGTGTAGGGGAAATGGGGCCGAAGAGATAGCGATCTGCGGGACTGTCTGGCCGAGCAGAAATCCAGGGCGATCACGTGACCAGTAGGCCGTTAGCTGAAGGGTGAAGTCGGAGGTCGTTGCAGTACAGGTTCCAGGTAAAAGTCACAGTAGCTGGCCAGAGGCCAATACTAGTTTTAATATAAGAGTTCTTAAAGATTAGAAGCTTAGAGTTAAAGATATTATATATATTACCTCTAAATTATATATTATTATTATATAACTTTATAAGATCTATAAGTTAATAAGGGGATAGCTAATTAAGTATAATAAAGTTAAGTATATTACCCTTATTAAAGTTAATATTAAGCCCTCTTAGATAAGTAAAAGTAGTTAACTAATAAGTTCTAATAGGGCTTAATTTATACTAAATTAGTTTAAAAAATAGGGCTATATATAAAGAGGTATAGCTAAAAGATACTAATAGCTTTAGTTTAATACCTTTAATATTATTAAAGAAGTTAATATCCTTAATAGCTTTCTTAAGAGAGGGAAACTTAGCTATTTTATTATTAATATCCTTATTAAACTAATAATAGAAGTCTTAATAAAGAGTAATATAGATATTAGAAGTAATAGATTTACTATCTTATATAATATAAACCTTATTAGTAATAAAGAAGTCCCTAAATTCCTTTATAATAGCCCTATTATAGTAGTTAAAAATAGATTCTAATATATCTTTAAAATTAATAAAAGCTTAACTTTAGAAAGTAGAACTAATAAGGCTATTAAGTTAGTAATACTTTATATTAAATAAAAAATATAAAACTACTTAACCCTAAATAATAATATCTAATTTTATATTAATATTACTAAGCTTACCCTAAATACTATAGTTAATTATACTATAAACTCTAATAAGGATAGAGATAAAGTAGTTATTAGCTAGAAGCACTAAAGAGGCTAAAGAAGCTAAAGGGTTACTTAGAGGGTTTCTTAGAGAAGCTATAGTAAATAATTTAGATATAATTAAAGAAGCTTAATAATAATTATTTAAGAAGTTATATAAATTATTAAAAGTATAAAGGGGTAAGTATTAATATTCCTAATAAAGTAAAGTATTAAGTTAAATTATAAGCAAAAATTACTATACTATAGTTATAAAGAGCTTACTAAATATTATAGTAGCTAAAGCTTATTTATCTAATAGATAATTTACTACTTTATTACTTTTACTTAACTTAATATAGCTTAATAGTAATTAAAAATAGAGGTATAAAAGTTAAAAAAGATCTCTATAATAAACTAAAAGTTAGTTAACTATATAGAAAAGAATACTAAGGGTAAGTATTAATAAGAGAGTAAATAAGTTTAATAAGTAATATTATTAATAAAGTAGTAAAATCCTAAAAATAAAGAGATAATATAGTAATATTATAGAAGAAGCAAAAAAGCTATATAATAATATTATAAAAAGAGTATAAGTTATTAAAAGTAAAAAATAGTAAAAAATTCTCTTATAGCTAATAGTTAGTAGTTAGTATTTAGTAGTTAAATAATAGGAAAATCTTATAATAAGGTATACTATATGCTATATATATAGGTAGTTATTATTAAATAAGCTTAAAGTAGCTATTTACTATTAATATTAACTTAGTAAAGAAGAAAGTAGTTAAAAGCTATTAAAAATAGAATAATCTCTTATTTACTTATTTAGTATAAAAACTCTACTTATAAGAGGTAAGAAGCTAAGTAAAGTAGTTAAAAGTAAAATAAGTAGTTAACTCTACTATTAATTATAAATTAATAAGCTAAAATTAATATTAAGGGTTAAATATATAATAAACGCTCTTTAAGTAAGAAAAAAGAGTAATTACTAAGAACGTTCTAAGTAAAATAGACTATCCCTTAGGTTATATTATAACTACTTCTATTAAATATAAGATTAGAAGCTATAGGGGCTATTATTATAATCCTACTATTATTAATATTATAGAGAGATATTACTTAATTTTACTAATATTAGTAATATTAATATTAATATACTCTTCTTAGAGATTAGAAGAGGGTAAGTTTAAAGTAGCTTAAGTAATATAAGCTATTTTTTCTTAAAATTATAACTACTTTATTAATATAAATTAATTAATTAAGTATTTCTAAATAGAATAAATCTAAATAAATATTAATAAGACTACCTCTTCTAAAACCTTACTAATCTATAGTTAATTAATATATTATATAATAGTAACTATAAAGTTAACTACTAATTAGTATTAATCTTATAAAACTAGCTAGCTAGTAAGGTACTATAGGTAGCAAATATCATATTATATTAACTACATTAGTAGTAATATATATAAGGTTAACTATGTTAGAGGCAGTAGCTGCAATTACAGCATTAATCGCAGAGGCCAGCGCCTTACATAATCACTAATTACATAAGGCACGCCCAGCTCAATTAACGCTGCGATGGGCTGGCGTTGCCGACAAACATCGTCTCTACAATTGAGGATCTTGGATACGAAGCCACTCCGAATAATCTTATAGAGGTCAATAGTGATCAGTCGAAAGATTCCCACAGAGTACTCTCCATCAGAGTCACCGGCATGTACTGTGCACACTGCCCAGGACGCGTCTTGGCCGCATTCTCACCTTTCGGGGATAGGCTGTCGGTCAAAGAACAGGGAACACTCGAAAACCCCATATTCACAGTCACATACGTACCTCAGGCTCCAGACTTCACCGTCAGGGCTATCCTCGAGTCCATCATGGGCACTGACGGCGCCTTCGTACCCACGGTCTACCATCCACCCACCATGGAGGAGAGGTCACAGCAGATGATGCACCGCACACGATTTCGTCTGATGCTTCGCGTTTTGCTTTGCTTCGTTGCCGCGATTCCGACCCTGATCATCGGCATCGTCTACATGAATCTCGTGTCACCAGAGAACCACGGGAGACACTATCTGATGCAGCCGCTCAATGGTGTCTCGCGAGCCGAGTGGTCTCTGTTGATAATGGCGACACCTGTTTACTTCTTTGCTGCCGATGTCTTTCATCGACGGGCGATCAAGGAACTGTACTCCCTCTGGCGACCTGGCAGCCCTGTTCCCATTCTGCGCCGTCTTTACCGCTTTGGTAGCATGGACATGCTTGTTAGCTTCGCCACAACCATCGCCTACTTCAGCTCGATCGCAGAGATTGTCATCGCGGCGACTAACAATCATCATATGGAGATGCAGTCCAGACCTTCGCACATGGATGCCGTCGTCTTCTTGACTCTGTTCTTATTAGTGGGTCGCGTGATCGAAGCCTACAGCAAGGCAAAGACTGGTGAAGCAGTGTCAAAGTTGGGGACCTTGAGACCCAAGGACGCGCTGCTGCTTCTAGATGATCAGAACGGGGAGAGTCAGGTCAAGACCATCGGCGTCGACCTACTTGACTGCGGCGATCGAGTGAGAGTTGTCCATGGTGGCTCACCGCCATGGGACGGTGTCCTCATCGATGGCTTTAACGCCGAATTTGTCGAGTCCAGCCTAACAGGCGAGTCAAAACCTGTGGAGAAGCGACTGGGCGATTACATTTACTCTGGCACCGTCAACAACGGTGGCCCGATCACCATGCAGATTACCGGCGCTTCTGGGGATTCCCTCCTCGATCAGATCATCAAAGTCGTACGGGATGGCCAGGCTCGACGCGCTCCGATTGAGCGTGTGGCTGACTCTATCACTGGCCACTTCGTCCCAGTCGTCACACTCATCGCCATTGCAACCTGGCTAATCTGGCTTGGTCTTGGACTTGCGGGTCGCCTGCCAGCAGACTACAAAGATGTCGTTGTTGGAGGTTGGCCATTCTGGTCTCTTCAATTCGCCATAGCCGTGTTTGTTATCGCTTGCCCATGCGGTATTGGTCTTGCTGCTCCGACTGCACTTTTTGTCGGTGGCGGGCTTGCTGCGAAGCATGGCATTCTGGCCAAGGGCGGAGGTGAAGCCTTTCAGGAAGCCAGTAACCTGGACATCATCGTTTTCGACAAGACTGGCACCTTGACCGAGGGTGGAGAACCCACGCTCACTGACCACCGTATCCTCGCTATCGACGACGCCCAAAAGGGTGCTTGGGATGAGAACATCATCCTCGGCTGCTTGGTGGAGCTTGAGAGCAACAGCAGCCACCCAATCGCCAAAGCTATCACCACTTTCTGCGGACCTCAACGCCGGAATAGCTTCAAGTCAACAAGCATTACAGAGGTTCCTGGAAAGGGTATCAAGGGCACCTTTACAGGCGCTTCTTTCTCGGCTCCGTTCGAGATCATTGTTGGAAATGAAGCCCTGATGGCTGATCACGGAGCCATTTTTGATGAGCAAACGTTGGAGAAACTAGACAGTTGGAAGAGCCAAGCCAAGTCCGTGGTTCTCGCTGCTGGCAAATTCGTCTCGTCCGACAACGGTGTCAGATGGAATCCTCTAGCCATTTTCGCTGTTTCGGATGCTATTCGCCCAGAGGCGAAGCCGGTTTTGGATGCTCTACGAGAGCAGGGTATCGACGTGTGGATGCTCTCTGGAGACAACGCCAAGACCGCAAGAGCTGTTGGTGCTATGGTCGGCATCCCGGAGGACCACATCATCGCCGGCGTGCTTCCTGAGCAGAAGACAGAGAAGATTGAGTACCTGCAGAAGAGCCAGATCAAGGTCGAATCCTTTCTGGGCATTGGGAACTCCAGGTACCGGCGGCCGACCGTGGCCATGGTTGGAGATGGCATCAATGACTCTCCTGCATTGACTGTCGCAGACGTTGGCATTGCCATTGGCTCAGGTTCCGACGTCGCTATCTCTGCTGCCGATTTTGTTCTCATCAACTCTAGCCTTGCGACGCTTCTCACACTCACGAGTCTCAGTCGAGCGGTGTTCAGACGTGTCAAGTTCAACTTTGCATGGGCTTTGGTCTACAACCTCGTTGCTCTGCCTATCGCCGCAGGTGTCCTGTACCCGATCAAGACGAACGGAAGTAACACGAGATTGGATCCAGTTTGGGCGGCACTTGCAATGGCTTTGAGTAGCCTCAGCGTCATTACAAGCAGTCTGCTGTTGCGGCTTCCGCTACCGGTAGTTGGATGCAAGACCAAGACCATTGGAAACTTGTAGATAATCGGAGGATGTATATTGGCGTTTTCGACATTTAAGTACTTTACGTTGGGTTCACTTTTGAGTTCGTACAATAGTCAATCATTTTCTCTTGCCAATTCGTTATACCCATGTTGAGAGCGACTGATGCTGTGGAAGACTTCAAGTCAACATCACTTCGCTCATGAACACTCACCGTCTGATCGGTCATTGCGGAGGCCTGCTTGATGCCTCGCCTGCATGAGTGCAAGGACGAAAATGCCTATCGCTATCAAAGGGCCAGGTAAGGCGTTTTTCTCGCTACCATGCCTCTTGAATGGGGCTGCCGGTGGGCGCATTACAATGGCGAAGATCACGCCCAGGTACACTGCCACGGCCCACAGGCTTTGAAACCACAGTTTACCTCAATAGAGGATGAGTAATCCTGTCCGAATGTCGCCTCAAGTGCTGCCTTGGCAGGACCTGACTCAAGTCAACGTGTCTTCAGCTGAAGGGTCGACAAGAATGGGATGATAAAAGGACGACACCTCGCCTGCTTTCGAGACCGGCCCATGCCGACCATTTCCTCACCGCCGATACTCAACTCCATCTCCTTGAAAATGAAGTCTTTTTTCTCCAGGTTTATTGCTCCGCGAGAGACCAAAGCTCCGACACAAGCGTCACCAGAAGAACTGTACGATGCAAATGAACCACAGATTAAGGGCAACCTTGAAATCGCAATTGACTCGACAAATCGCAAGAGATGGCCCGACGTCATTCTAAAGGCACGAAGGCATATGCGATGCCACCCCTACCATCCTAAGCGACTACCAAAATCATATCGGCCGTTCCAAATGGTCATAGACCCGCCGACTGATGAACGCCAAGAAAACAATGATGGACCAAGTCGACCCGCTTTGACGACATTTCCGGTGTTCATGGACCTTCCAAAAGAGCTCAGAGACAAGATCATGCTCATGTCGCAAACTCCTACCGTAATGGAGGGAAATGTCGTTATCGATCTGGAATGGAGAGAAGGGCCGCAAATTCACTTTCAACCCTACAGATCGTGGTCGAGCGTGCCTCTCTACGCAGTCAGCCGGGAAACGAGAGCGTTGGCAATCACCTACTTTGGAGAACCGCAGCCAGATTCTATCCCATTCAATTCTTCGCACGACTTTGTGGAGGTTGACTGGAACGGATCGATGCAAGCCGAGCGCAGCTGGACTGGCGACCACAAGGGCCCAGGACCAGTCCTCGTCACTCGAAAACGGAACATCACAGAGAAAGAATGGCCCATGCCACGAGATCTATGTGAAAGAATACAGCACGTGGTCATTGATGCCCGCAACGCGGCCTTCGAAGATGACTCAAAGAAGGGTCCTTGGCGACTGGCCTTTGGGCTTCTCAGGGATCATTTCAAGAATCTCAGGATCTTGGACATCAGACTGTGGGACTTGGATGATGCGAGATCTGACAGACCGTATGATCCAGTATACCAAGAACTTTATAGGATTGATCAACTGGATTTTCTTGACGAGTTGGAAGACATGTCATCCGAAGGCCATACGCCATTCTTGAAGCTAGAGTGTGTCAGTATCATACCAGAGCTGCCCACGCCCCTACAGGCGGAGAGAGAGCAGTTCAGATTTCGCACGATTAAAGGGAGTCACTTCAAAACAATCAAGGCAGGTGAGCTTCCCAGAGCTGGTCTATGACTATGTCCCGGGGTCAGTATGAATACTGCAACTACAATTTCTTCGGGGTCTGTGAAATGGGACAGAGTTTGGTTGTCGAAGTACAGATGCTTTTTCAGGCAGTTACTAGCGTAGTGAAAGATCCTCTTAGAAGCCCATCAAGTCCTCCCTAGTGCGCCATACAATTCAGTAACCACGACGGGATTCCCGAAGTCGAACAAGCGGTTAACCGTAACAGGTGAAACACATGACCGGGCCACCGAAATGCTATTTTATTCGACTTCGCCACACCTTCCCATGTTAAATCAATTCCCGATTGAAGGGTTATGGAACAGAAGATAAATGCTTAGTATCAATGAACATCCATTGTTAGCGACGCATCGCCGAAAAGGGGCGAGGAGTATAAACGCAAGGTCTACCCAGCCCAACTTGTGTACCATAGCAACCCATCGAACAAAAGCTGAGGCACTGGTTGAGATCTCTGCGCATATTTCTTCTGCGTTGAGTAGCCACCCGGGTGAATCCTCACAGTCTCGGCTGGAATCAAGTTCGTGGGCCATGCCGTACGTTGTCCCATGTCAAACGGCGGGATCTTTCCGTTGAGTCCCGTTTTCTCTTTCATCAACCACGACCAATAGTCTCGAGAAGATTGGTTTGGATGCCTCTCCATCATCCCACTAATTACTAACCCCATCTTGATTGGACCACCCCACGTGAAGCTCTTATAGTCTTTCTCCCTTATTGATGGCTCAGAGGACCCTGACAATAGTTGTTTCTGGTCGATGAAGCGTTTGACTAGCAACCAGTCAAGAATATCATGGTTCATGTTAGAAGCAGCAAATACAGATCGAAAGCCTCGTCGTCCATGGTATGTCAGCCACGCACCATGGCGGACCAAATACTTGACGCACTCGTTCTGTCCAGCTACACAAGCAGCCATTAACGCTGAACCAGACGGAGATCCTTCAAGGTTGACATCAGCACCCAAGTCTATGATGTTCTTCATCATCGACATATTTCCGATCGATGCCGAAATACACAAAGGGGTCCAACCCTGGGACGGCTTGAGGTTCGCGAACTTGCGCAAAGCGTTGTAGCCGTATCTTTTCAGATAGTGTGGGTAAGCGCTAGTAATCCATGCTGGGCCCGATGGATCTGTGGTCCATGGGAATACGGAGCTATCCTCCAAGCGAACGCTCGAGTTCACGATCAACGAGGTGAAGGCAGTTTCGCAAATGGCATAATGAAAAGGGGACCCGCTGTACCACGATGATTCTTGTCTGTGTATCTGGACTCCGAGATGAAAAAAACGGGCAAACAGCGCACAACTATGCTCAGAATCGAATGATAGAAGATCCAGAATGGAGGAGTTGTCGGAGTCCGTGACCGTTAGATCAGCGTTCGCATCGAGTAGTTGTTTGATGATATCAATCCGATCGTTATCTACTGCTTGCAAAAGGGCTGTCTGGCCGTAACAGTCGCGATAATCGAGTTTTGCGCGCATCCTGATCAGTAGAAGGGCGATAGCGGACCGGTCCTCTTTTGGAGATCTGATGGCGCAGCCAAGGGGTGTCCCGTACAATCTCGAACCCATCGCATTAATATCTGCTCCATACTCAAGCAAAACCTCAACGGATTTTAAGCTTCCTTCAAATGCTGCACGATGCAAAGGTGACCATCCATTGGAGTCGACTTGAGCCAGCGCCTCTGCGACCGATAGGTGCGGCATAAAAGGCCCTCTGGGATATGTAAGCGACTATTATCTTCAATGCTGACTTCGCAAACTCACTGGGTTGTCTCTCGAGGCGATTTCAAAGTCTCAAGTACGATTTTTAGTCCATCGACATTTCCAGCCTCCACTGCAATGGCAAGAAGCCCAGGGACCGCGCCTGCAATATGACCTCCACTTTTTGTGTAGCACTCCAGACACTCGGGAAGCAAATCGTTCAACTCACTCGTCTGCAAGACCATATGCATCGCAGAAACACGACGTGTTACATGACAGACCTCTCTTGTGATGTCGGCTTCGTTTCGTAGCAACCACCTGATGATCCTCGTTCGGCGTAGAGCGATTGCTTGGATGAGCGGTGAGCAGCCTTTGCAGCTGTTGAGAGGCATTTCAAAACTGCAATTCTCCTGCCGCAAATCCTCAAGTATCTCGATGTCATCATATTCAATCGCTTCTTCGCATAAATCTGCGAGTGCTTGGTGACGCCTCTTTTGTACAGTACGAGATGGCAGAGGCATGTTTGCGACAGCTTCGTCGTCTGTGTCACTAGACCGGAACCACTGTGCTTGACTTTTGTTCTTCTTTGGGGCATAGAAGGAAGGAAACAATCCTGCTGCGTCCCTCTTTGGCTTGCATCCAGCCTGCAAAAGGACCCTGGCGATCGGCATACTCTCCCCTTGGGCTGCAAAATGCAGCGAAGACCTCCCATCTACTGCGCAAGCGTTGACATCACATCCACGTGAGCAAAGATATGCCACAGCTCGAATATGGCCATTGATTGTCGCTAAGTGCAATGGTGTCAAGTCGTCGTCGGCTTTGGCATTGATGTCTTCCAGCAGGTTGTTATCCAGGTAGAACCGCAATGCCCCGACTGAGCCACCTGCAGCCCCGACATGAAGAGCGTTCAGGCCTCCCAGATTCTTTCCTCGTTCATACTCCCAAATACTCATAGAACATGTCGAGCTCCAGTTTATAATGGCGCTGGTAGAATTGGGCATGATGTCTGATAAGAAACTTACTGCGTCGTGGAAAGAAGCGGCCAAAGCGGCATCAAAACCATTGTCGTCTGTCAAGGTTGGGTCTCCGCCACTTCTAAATATAGCCGTGGCGCAGTCCGGGGCATTATGGCAGAGATGATGGACGATTGGAGGAGCATGCGGAGGTGAGTTGACGCGCAAATTAGGATTTGCACCTCTGTCGACGAGCTTTCGTACGACCCATTCTGCTCTACCGCCTCCCAAAACATGTATCGGGGCGCAACCACTGTCAGGATTATATTCATCCAGTCGAGACATATCAGCATACGCCAGCGCTAAATCAATCATCTTCGCTGTTTCGTCTTGCGGGGTGCTTCGTACATGTTTGAAGACTAACTCTAGAGGCGTTTCGGGAAATGATGTGTCAGGCCTGTCATGTATGCTGACTCCTTTCTTGAGCAAAAGTTCTGCAAGCTCGAAATCGTTCTCTAAGAATGATGTTCCCAGTATTTGTACGAGTCGTCTATGATGCTGAATGCTAGACCAGTACTTCGTTCTCGGGAGGATGTCCCATAAGATTGTCCGGATATGTTTGAAGGAACTCGAGAGATTGAATTGTAATGGCGCATCAAGTAGTGGTAACGCACCGGATTTCCCCGTGAATTCTTCAAATACTTCGAAATACCCAAGTCGGAGGAGGGAGTTGATAATCGTCGGGCATTGTGTAAGACGCGGGGTTACCCACGGGGGAACAGGGTTGAAGGCCGATCTGTCTTGGACGGCGACGGCGGCAAGCGTTGCCCACGTGGCCTGCGCGCCTTCCATGACGGTCGCCGAGAAGCACGGTGCACTGCGAGAGGAATCCAGCATTGATAGCTCGTCTAAGATCGCCGGGTCCAAATTAGAGTAGCGAGGACCACCAGTCTTTGCTGACTCAAGGCATCGCTGAAGATATGCCTGTAACACTGTATCCCTATGCATCTCCCGACTGCAGACGTTGGGATATAGTGTTTTTATTCGACGGATGAAGCTTAGTGTGGCATCGGGACCAAGCTGCAGAAGTGGGTTTTCTCCCTCGGAGCAGATGTCAGCATCGTTGAAGCATGGGAGGATATCGAGAAGAGTCTCAGCGTTCGCTCTGACGATAAGTCCAAGAAATCCAGTCGAGGTCTTCACCATCGACGAAGTGATAGTGCTGTACTTGGCCAAGATAGTCGCCGAATCTCTTTTCCCTTCAGTGAGACACAGCGCAAGCGGCGTGTGCCCCATGTCGTCTGTGGCTTCCATCGCTTTCTTAACCTCAACTGGCGATTGAAATTTCAGTATGGCTTCCAGTAAATGCCTTGAACCGACTTGACTGTGAAGAACATTGCGTCCTTTGGAATCTTTGATCGAACAGGTAGCACCTCTGTCGGCAAGCATGCGAGCCACATCATCAAACATTTCGGGGCATAGTTCCCATCTCCATACATGCATAGGCTGTTTTCCCAGCCAATCAGTTTTCAAAGCATCAAATCCCTCTTCCAATAGACTCTGGAAGATGGCCACTGGTTGTGTTCGAGGCTGCTCCCTCAGGGCCATGTGCAATAAAGATCCGCCTTGACCGTCCGAAATATTGCTGAGATTTGTGCGAGGGTCTCGAAATATTTTGCGCAAGAGTAGTAGATTTCCACTCTTGATTGCGGCAATGGCATGCTCTGTCAAGTCCGCCAGCGTAAAGCTGATGACAGTGTTAACTTTGGCCGTGTTTCGTGTGAATTCTTCATTCAGGTGCATAGCTTTCCTCCAAGCCATTGAATACAGGCGGACGTGGCCTGGCGATTGTGCGATATGGCTCTCCAGCGACTCAACTAATTCTTGAAGGCCCTCTAAGTTCCTACTGTAAACACCCGTCTCGTCGAAAAGCTTTTTCGCGCTACTGACGTCGTCCTCTTCGATCGTAGCACCAAGCTTTATCAACAGAGATGGAAGGAGTAGGGTACGTGTTTGCTGAGCCACAGAGAACGCCAACTGTAGCAGACTTTTCCCGCAGTGGCTATGAATACATCTGGATTGTAGTGAACCTCCAGCATTTTGAATAGAGACAACTGTCGCTGCAGCCATCGAATGACTGTCGTCTTGGTTATACAAGTACCTGTTGTCCCAAATCCTGTTGCTATTCAGATATGTAAAGGACCGCAAACCCTGTATCGCGCATTGTAAAGGGCCACCGATTGGACTATCCAGGTTCGCATCAACGCCTTGCGTTAAGAGATGTGAACAGATCTGTGGTAACCGCAGCGCCGCTGCCATGTGCAATGTGGTGAAGTTGACATTGATCAAGGCTGCTATCAGAAGGCCTTTGTCCACATCCAGCTCCTGGTCAGCCAGGAATGTGCTCGCCCACGAGAAGAAGCAAGTTGTTCGTGCCTGATCAAAAAGGCTCCTCGACAGAGCTTCCACGATCGGGTCTTCCCAATGTCCATACGCGTAGTGGTGCCACCTTGTTGCAGCGCGAATGTACAATGGATAGTCGTCGTCGCGCTGGCCAGTTTCTTCCATAACAAGGAGTTCATTGACGCTGAGGCGAGAAAAGTTGCCTAACAGGAGATACTTGAGACACTCCACCGCTAACAAGAGGCCATGTGTGTGGTCTGAGATGCGAAATATTTCGAGTTCCGGTCTGGGGAACAAACATGTTTCGAGAAACTCTCGGACCGAAAAATGAGAGAACTCAAAATGCGATCCATCCGTTGACTTACGTATGAGGCTACTACAATATTTTGTAATAGAATCTTCCTTGATAACATTACGAGGTTCAAGGCTGAAACCAGGCTCTGGCACCGAAAGAAGGTGTTGCAATTCGCGGATTTCTAATGCAGGGTCCGCGAAGGCTATAGCATGCAAAGCAAGTTGAACAAGCCGTGTCTTTTTCTGTGGAATCCTTTCTAGAATGCGAATATAGGTTTCGTTGAGGGTCGGGGGAAGTGATTGCAGTGCATCCCGGCATTCCTGGGCGGAATCACATTCTGAAAGATGGTCAAGCTGACAAGCTACCCATCGAAACCTTTGGGTCGATATTTAGTAGCTGAAATGGTGGAATCATAGGAGAGCAAGACTTACATTCCGTTTGCACCATCAACAAGTCTTGTAAGCGCATCTGCCTTCAGTTCTGGGTCATGAAGGTCAAGCTTCCCATTTCTCGTTCGTTCTTCGATCTCTGCCGTTATATACTCAGTTATGTCTTGTTTGTGGGCGGCAACTTCGATGGAAACAAAGTCTTCGTGAAGATGATGTCGGACCTCTTCCTCGTCGCGACTTAACAGGGCAATCGATACATTTGGCGACGTCCTTGGGATTTTTGCAAGTGCGCCAACAACATCGGCGGTGTACTTGCCACATTCGTCAAGCCCATCAATGACTAGATGTACGTGGCTGTATATCTTGAGGATGTTGTGGAGCATTGACATCAACTCTGCCTCGCTGGGCTGTCTTGGAAGTCCATTGACTGGGTGGTGTTCTTCGTAGTGATATTTCAGTAACTGGTAGGCCTCGCCATTTTGCAAGCCCAGCTGGTAGACGATCGCCAAGATGATGGCCTCAATATTCTGCGTAGCCGTAACTTTATAATCACAGAAAAAGAAAGCGCATGCAATGGACTCGGAGGATTGTCCCAACGCAGCTTCAATTATCGAAGCAGCAAGAACAGTTTTCCCGGCTCCAGGAATACCCTTCAACCACAGTCGAGAGCCAGGTTTCGACAGCCAGTATCGAAATTGGGGAAGTCGAGTAAGCCATAGACCAGTTCTACCATGACGCAGACGAAGACTCATATCGTAGTTAGGTTGGGGATTGTGCTGCACGTAAAATTCCAGGAGTCTCTTGTCCTCCATGGCCTTCTCAATCCGGATTGTGATGCGACGTGTCTCTTTTGCAACCTCAACATGTTCATCTTCTTTTGCGAGAAGCTTGAGCATGGCATCCAATGAATCCGCCGATAATGCCAAGTTGATATTTTGCTTGTGGCGGGAGAGCAAATCGAGCCATTCTCGGACCTGATCCGAGGATATCGGGCGGAAAAGTTTGGTTCTGATGGATGTCAGGTCGATCTTGCTCAGCTCCTTGTTCATTGCCGTCAAGCTGTCACTGCAATCTTCGATATTGTGCATGCGGAGGTTGCTGTCGAAGGACCCTGCTTCCAGGGCTCTGGCTAGACGAGCAAGGCTGTTAAGGGCACCTCCGAGGAGATTGACCTCTTTCGCCAAGTCACCGAGTTCTTTCTCGGCATCTTTGACTGACTTTTTGTATTTGATCAGGCGGGTGAAGACGATGTCGGCGAGCGAAATGAGACCAGCGATGCTGGCGGCGATCGATAAAGGATCGGCCATTTTTGGGATGGCCTCTTCGGACTGACAGTGAGACGACAGGGACCGCAGGAATCAGCACAAAAGGTCTTGGTCTCGGGGTGGGTTCTCATTTTCTTAAGAGAGCTGAAATGACCGAGTTAAACAGACTCTCGTTTAGTGAGGCTGCAGATGAACGATTGGTCACCCTGCTTTCCGCCCTCCAACATGCAATGCGAGGTACTTCCTCAGAGGATAGTGGGGCACGAGGTGAGAAAAGCCGCGACACAGTGAACAGGAGACGAGACCATTTCAATTGTGGCTGCATTGCCTGCCTGCTTAGCCATCTTACTGTCATGGATGGCCAAGTCACATTGTTACCTACGGGCGCCTTGCCTGCCTCAAGCTCCGATTTCATTTGCGACAATCTTGCCGTGCTAGCCCCCAAATGCCTAGGGTGTTGGCCGTTATGACGCCGTCAGACATGCGAGGCGCTTTTTGTGCTTTCTTTCTCGAATAAGCTACCTTATGCCTGTGCATTACACAGCCTCTAGGCTGATTTTGGCGTCGCAGGCTTTGAGCACCGGTATGGCCAGTCGCCACAACAAGAATGCCATGGCTGTATATCATCCATCAAGATCAGTGCACGAGCTGGAAATTGGCCCCGAGGTACTATTGGCCCGAAAAGCCCGTTTCTGATACTTATTGGTGAGGTTGAGTCCAAGGCTTCTTCGACCTGGGCGTCGCGGCACTGACATGATTACTACCTGAACCTTTTGGCAGATTGCAGCGTAATGCACGCCTCTGTGAGGCTGACAACTCACCTAATGGCGTCGGGTTATGTAATTGAAGGAGCTGACCATAATGATTCCATGATTGACTCTACTTGCATACTATGTTCATCAAATGTCTGGTTAGCCAGGGGCGCTTACTTAAGTTTCAGTCCATGAATGAACTCGATGGAGGCGAATGTCGCAGTCGGGGGACAACCTGTAGCTGTGCGGTATGTCGGCAGTCCTTTGCTCAATGAGTCCGCGCAGGACGGTCATTAGAAAAGTTCCCAAAGCTCAAGATAAAATCTCAACGCGTGTTTAGATTTGAAAAAGTTGGTGTGGAGCAATCAACTCACATTGGCCTGCATCACCGCGAAAGAAGTCGGCTTTCGGGTCAGGCAATTTTAGCGTACTCCAGCCCGAGTCGGGCCCGCCCCGTGTCGGGCCTGAAACCTACCGGTGAACATCGGGCGATGCGACTCCACACGGCCCGAAGCTGCGGCGTCTGGGATTGGCATTCACTCCAAAATCATCCCGCCGGAATACTTCGAACAAAGTTTTCCAGCTTCTCCTACACTCCCAATTACGTTCAAAATGCGTTCTAGACACCACTGTCGTGTGTTGGTGTTTCCAGCCCTCGCTTAAATAGGTGCCAAGCTAGCAACCGTGTGTCGAATCTTGGTCATCGCACTCAGAACAGTACACCAATTTAGGTTCCCAAAGAGATAGGATGCCGATTCAAGAAGATCCAAGTTGGACAATTGCAATAATATGAAAGAAGTACGGCCAGGCTTGCATAGAGCCTTTGCATCGCCGGATCGTCGCGAAGCGGATCGAAAATCTTCTCAGTTGTGCATCAACCTGCAAGCTAGGTTAATATAAGCTCAGGGGCAGAATTACAGCGACGGACTCTTCAACACCGCGTTCGGGGCCGAACTCAGCCAGCCAAGACTCTTAACGACACCACATAAGAAGCAAACACTTCTGCCGTACCCACAACATCTCCACAACGGACACAAACGCCGAGAAACACGATCCCATCGGCTCAGCCCAGCAATTCCATCATCAAAACAGGAAAGAGGGAAAAACCATCACAAGCATAAACCTCTAAAATAAGAAGGTGGTGGAACCATCTCCCGAGTCAAGGCATTGCAAATGCGCGCTCGTTGTTTGGTCGCGCCGCACTCAATTTAAGTTGAAGCAATTTCCCATCTTTCCAGAATACGGGGTCCGGACCCACAGACCACTGTGAATTCGGCCGTCGCGCCGCGGCGGTTCGGGCATCCCGGGGCGGGCCCCGCACCCAATTAGGCATGTGCCCCCCGGCCTCCCCAGATCGGAGAGTCCGCCGATCAGAAATCAGCCCTGGAGGGAAAGCAAGAAGGAGAGCAGGGGAAAAAGCATATCTTGCTTCCGGTTCCCGCGTCCCGCTGGGCTGATGTCGATCCTGCTGGGTGTAGGACACAGTCTCTCTCTCGTTTGATCCAACTACCAGTCACTCTTTCACCTCAAACCACCACAATGCGCGTCTCATTCCTGTCCTTCGCTCTCTTCACAGCCGCCGTGCTCGGCCAAGATGCGGCACACCAATGGCAACCAGCCGGCGCCAACGACCGTCCGTCCCCCCTCCCTCCCCTCCTACCACCCCTCAACTAACACATCCACACACAGTCCGCTCCCCCTGCCCGCTGCTCAACTCCCTCGCAAACCACGGCTACCTCCCCCGCACAGGGCGCAACATCTCCGTCGACGCGCTCATCGAGGGCATGCACGCCGGCCTCAACCTGCGCGAGGACGCCAAGCTCTTCTTCCGGCTGCAGGGCAACAAGGCGCTGACGGCCTCCTCCACCGGCGACGCGCAGACCTTCCACCTCAGCGACCTCATCACGCACGACCTCATCGAGCACGATGCGTCCCTCAGCCGCGCGGATATCCACTTCGGCGACAACTGGTCCTTCAACCAGACCATCTTCGACGAGACCAAGTCGTACTGGCCCGCGGACCTGATCAGCATCAGCGACGCGGCGAAGGCGCTTGTGGCGCGGCAGAAGACGGCCAAGGCCGTGAACCCCGAGTTTAACCTGCCGCTGGACGGGTACACGAATAGTCTGGGCCAGACGGCGATGTACCTGGGCCTGTTTGGGGACTATGAGGATGGAAATGCCCGGACAGATTGGGTGGTGTACTTTTTTGGTGAGTTTGCTGTGCCCTGGGTTGAGATGAGAATGTGAGAACTGACAGGATGAACAGAGAATGAGAGGCTGCCGTTTGAGCTTGGATGGGCTAGACGGTCTGACGATGACAAGATCCCGGCTACGGGCATTCTGGCGCTGACGACCAAGGTCGCGGTGCATTATCTGGCTGCCAAGATCGGCTTGTAAAGTGGTGTATTTGGTAATGTTTAATTTAAATGATCAGCGAGTTGACAATACCGGCGTCAGACATGAATTCATAATGATATCCATATGAAGACTGGAGGTTCCGTTCATCGCATGTGATTGGCTGAGCACTCACTTCCACACTCACCCAACAACTTCAACCGGACGGCCACTCACTTCCGTTCATGCCTCACCCCGACCCCGACCTGAGCCACCCCCAGCCCCGACGTCCTCGCAAACTGCATTCTAACAACCAAGACCGTCTATCAAAAACAACATCCCCCAAATACGAGTCCCATCACCGGAATTCAGCATCCTCATCACCCGCCTCCACCCCCAACTCCATCCTCCTACGGCCGCAACCACCATCCCCCTCGCGCACTATTGCCAAACCCACTGCCATCACCCGTCCTTCCCACCGGCGATCCATCACCTCCCCCCCTCCATCCAACTGCGCGCAAAGGGGGCCTCGGGTATCCGCTGCAGAAAGTGGACCTCTCACCAGGGTCGCCCTCAATGTGACAGCAGACCGGGGTCCTTCCGCTCCTCTGGCCCATGCGACGACTCAGCGCCCCGGTCCATCACGAACGCTCAACGCCCAAACACCGGCCACCGGGAGCCACACGGCGGGTCGCGGCCCATGTCCCGGTGCATACACCCATCGCCCGCGCCCGCTTAGCGCCAACAGAGTCGGGCGGCATGTCTGGTGATATGGTGGAGGCGGTATGTGTTGGTTGAACCCTCGAGGATTCCCAGCGACGAGTGCTAGGTAGCCGGGAGGGATGATAAAAAACCGCTCACCTCGCCCCTGGAAAACCGCACCGCTACCGGCTCGAGTCAGTCTCCTTTTCTCTGCCCAGCACATCCTCTGCACCAAAATGCCCTCCCAAAAGCCAAAGATCCTCCTCATGGGCGCCACCGGCTACGTCGGCGGCTCCGTCCTCCACCACCTCCTCGCCCACCCGGACCTCACATCCACAATCACCCCCTCCAACCCAATCACCCTCCCCATCCGCCCGGGCAACCCCTCCTCCTCCTCCCCGTCCCGCGCCGAGCTCCTCACCGCAACCTACGGCCCCCGCGTCCGCCCCGTCCACATCACCTCCCTCGACGACGCCCAAACCCTCACCCGCCTCGCCTCCCAGCACGACCTCGTCATCAATGCCGCCTCCGGCTTCCACCCCTCCTCCGCCGAAGCCCTCGTCCTCGGCCTCGCCCAGCGCCGCAAGACCCACCACCGCCCCGGCACAACCCCGTGGATGATCCACACCTCCGGCACCTCCAACATCGCCGACCGGCCCCTCAGCGGCGTCCCCCGCCCCGACGTCGAACACGACGACGCCAACTCCCAATCCGTCTTCGCCTTCGAGGAAGCCGAAAACCGGCGCGAGTGGTACCCCCAGCGCGCCGCCGAACTCGTCGTCCTCCGCACCGCCTCCGAGACCGGCGTCTCCGCCGCCTCCATCCAGGCCCCCTGCATCTTCGGCACGGGCTCCGGCCTCTTCAACCGCGCAGGCCTCATGGTCCCCGTGATGATGTCCTTCGTCCTGCAGCACGGCTTCGGCATCCGCGTCGGCGACGGCACCGGCTGCATCGACACCGTGCACGTCTCCGACCTCGCGGACCTCTACGTCCTCTGCGTGCGCGACATCGTCCACAACGACGGCGCGAACGTCCCCTCCGGCACGGGGGGCATCATCTTCCCCGCCGTCGGGCGCACGCTGACCGCGGAGATCCCGAAGAAGTGTCTCGACGTGGCGTTCGCGACGGGGAACCTGCCGCTCGAGGACGGCCCGCAGACGCCGGAGATCCGCGAGTGGAGCATTGAGGACGCGGCGGTTACGACGGCGGGGAATGTGGCGGTCGCGGAGACGGGGTACGCGGGCCACCGCAAGACGAAGGGGACTGTGGCGAGGGAGCGGCTGGGGTGGGCGCCGGTGTATCTGGAGGAGGCGTGGGAGAAGGACTTTGAGACGGAGTTGAGGGCAGCGTTGAATGGGCAGAGGGGGTCGACTATGGCGGCGTGTATTGCGAATACCAAGTGAGGTTGCGCGTGGGTTTGGATGATGTGAGGCTGAGATGGTGTAGCAGGACGTCGCTGTGTAACGTCAATCACGGCATGGACGGTGCAGCAAAAAGGACTGTGTTTGGAAAATTTCGATTATTCCCCTAACCGATCTATATATACGTTTTGTTTGATTTTGTCTCAATATGCACACGGGAAAACAGCATTTAACACTATGGTATGAAGGATGGGATGAGCTTGTGTGGTATCGCAGCGGTAGTTGTGCAGACGATGAGGGACACCTTTTCCCGTATGATACACTCGGCGGGCCGTCCTTCGGATTCACCGGAACATTGGAGGTCCCTTGTTGTACAGACAGCAGCAGCAAATTATTTGAGTCCTCCGAACTTGATGCACTTCTCGATCCAGCCGCGACGCGGCGTCTGCGGGGGCGGTGCCTGTTCGCGCGGGTGGTTGACCCCGCCGCCCCAGCTGCGCCAGGTGCTCTCCGTCGCCTCCGTCGGCGCCATCGAGACGCCGCGGTCGCCGTGCATCAGCGGCGGCGGCGTCTCCAGCCACAGCGGCTGCGGCGGTCGGCCCTGCTGTCCCGCCGCCGCCGGTGGCTGGCGGTTCTCGTACAGGGAGAGGATGGAGTTCGTGTCGGACTGGTTCTCGGTGCCGTACCTGCTCGACGCGGTGTACCTGTTCGCGTTGCCGGCCTGCTGGCTGTCGGGGCGGTACGCATCGGGCACGTTCGGGACAGGCGGCGCGTTCACGCTCTGGGCGCTTGCGCCCATGGTGCGGGAGGAGTAGACGCTGCTGCGGCCGGAGAGGGGGTTCAGCTTGAGCGGGTGGTGGCGGCGGATCCAGCTGGCGATGGAGTTGCGGACGTTGGGCTGGTGGACGGGGGCGGGCTCGAGGATGGGCAGCTGGCGACCGGAGGCGTACTTCTTCTCGTCCAGGTAGCCCTGCGGGGTGAGCGAGTTGCGGTCGTCCGGGTGGTAGCCGCCGGCGGAGCCGTTTTCGGCGGCGTAGGCGGCGCCCATGAGCTCGGCCATGATGCTGGACGGGGCGCGGCGGGCGGGCTGCTTCTGGGAGGGCGAGAAGGTCGATTCGGGGTTCCAGTAGTGGCCGTCGGGGGACATGGAGCGTTCGTACATGCGGCGTGCGTCGCGGCGTTTGCGGTATTTGAGGAACCACCAGAGGCCCCAGCCTATCACGAGGAACAGCGCGGCAATGGCTGATGAGGATGTCAGTTGGCACTCAAAAGAGACACGGATGGATGCTTCATCTTAGTGACATACCAATGGTCCCGAACGCGATGGCAGTCGGCGTCCACCCTGCGTCTGAAGATCTGTCGTCGCCCAAGCCAATCTCGTTTCCTCCCCTCGTGGTGCCTCCCGTCGGTGCAAGAGTCGGCTTGGTCGTCGTGAACTGGCTCTCGGGAAGGGCGGTAGGAACACTGCTAGTCCTGGATGGCGGGGTGGCAGAAGCGGCAGGGAAAGACGTGGGCCGGGGTTGCTCGCGCGAGGGCTCACGGGAGGGTGCGCTTGTGGGCGTGATAGACTCGGAGGTGGTCGTCGTCTCGTCGGTGCCGGTGGGATTGGCCGGGGCCAGGACGGGAGGCGGCGGCGGCGGTGGCGGGTCCGTGGTCTTTGGCGAATGGGTCTTTGTCTTTGGTGAGTGAGTTTTGCTCACGCCCGGCGGGAAGCTGGAGTGGTCCGGTGAGGGCGAGTCCTCGCCATCAGAAGAGTCGTCTCGGATCTCGATGCGCAAGTCGTCTCTCTGGTAGCGTGGCCGGCGGCGGGGGATACGCCTTATGAAAATTTAGTCACGTCGGTCATATGAGATGTCGTTGTGATGCCATGAAATCCTACCTTCTCACAATGTTTCTCGCCACAGCCTCCATGTTGTCGTAGTGCCAAGCTCAAGTTTCAAAAGACCTGAGTATCCAACCCGAGAACTGATAGTGAAGCTGTTTCGATGGTCGCGTGATCAAAAAATAAGGGTGAAAAATGAGATATGTAGGTCGTCGTGTTGGGACGGACAGAAAGCAGCCCAGCTGTAGAGACAGAATGAAAGAAAGTTAGTGGGCACCGCCCGTGAAGAAGGGAAAGGCGAAGAATGAAGAAAAGTGAAAGCTTGATGTCGACTTGGAAGCTTTCACCTCATCTTGGCCATGTGTCGACAGGAGGGGGGATCGAAGATGGGGGAGGGAAGGGAGCGAGAGGGGGGTGACGTCCCTTTGTTTCGATGCAGAGATCGAGGAACGGGAACGAGGGCCAGGAGGCGAGGTGCTAAGTGGCCGTATGTATAACGTAAGAAAGAACGAAGGGCAGGTGAGGGCGCCGTCACATCGCAAGGTGACAAGGTGACCAGGGGAGGAGTGTTCCTTGCGTGGCCCAAAACCGCCGGTTGGTCTCGTCTCTCGATGCCCCTCCCCTGCAACGTCCTGTCGTTAAAGTGGTCTAAGGTTTCTTGTGGTGGTGGTTGCTGCGCCCGTGCAGCCGCTGTCTGTCATTGCGTCAGGAAGCGCTGCTGCGAACCATCCATCCATCCCTTTCGAACATTGGACTTGTGGTGGTGGACTGGAGTTCTTCAGTGCCCACTCCGGGTGGGCAACCGGAAACGAGAGGAAGTCCGGAGCGCGAGGAGGAGCCAAAGGAGGGTTACAGGACGCGAGGTCGCTGGGGGTGTTGAAGGGGAGAATGGGAGGGTCCAAGACAGCGGCGGCGGCAAGAGGGAAAGAAGACGCGAGGCCCTGCAGTGTTGTTGGTGTTTCACCGTTTCAGACCTTGTGCCAAGAAGTCCCAAAAGACGCTGGTGCGACACCTTTTTTGCTGGGGACCCAATAAAGCCCCGATCCACACCAAGTTTTCAGCGGGTCTTTAAATGGGTCCATACGTTGAACAGTGGATCCCTTCTCCGCCAAGCCGCCCCGCTGTTGCCGCGGTCCCGGACCCCCGATTCGCTGCAATCCTGCAGCTCTGGTGCCGAT